TTTGAAATATGCCAAAGCCTACAACCCCTACGATATTTAAAACTCTTAAGGTAGTCACCTTTCAAGAAGAACACAAGACTGCTCAATCTTAACAGGTACATTCAGATTAAAACACTTAGTTTTTGTAGTTTACCTTTGCCACTTTTGCCAATTTTTAGAAGTATGCTCTCAAGCATTTACTGCCCCATAGTCCAAAATTAATCTTGTCCTCCCACTTGATCCCAGATTGAGAGCTGTCCTAACAATACTTAGTTACAGATATCACAATCATTTCTATGGTAACAAATTGAGAAGCCTGAAACACAGGATTACAATTCTGTGCAAGATCAGGAAGTCAGGTTAAGAGCTCTTACGTAGGTCTGCAACAGCAGCCAAGAACAAAGTATAAGAAAAAACACTTTTTATTCATCAACTTTTTGCAGTTTTGTTTCACAGTGAAAATACTCAAGTGTATATTTTTAGTTAGCTACTTATCCTAAAGCCCAGCACACTGTTTATGTGGTTTTCAGTTTATGTTTATTTTCAATCTATTTAAGAATCATGATTTTGATTAAAAAAATAAAGTTTAGAGATCCACTGATGAAGAGTGGTAGATAATTTTTCTTTATACCATCATACTAAATATATGGAAGAGCTTTTTACTATCTGTCAATAAAAGTGGTGCTAAATGGGTATGCCTACAAGCAGCTGTGCCGACATTAATTTTCTGACTCTGAATCTACAGATAAATAATGGGAAGGAAGTAGGTATGTCGAAGCCTAAAATACATAGTAACTAATGTCTGTTCTGAGTTAACAAAACATGTTTCTGCTCCTGTGCTATTAATGCCAGAGTGGAAGTAAATATTTATTGCATAAAAGCAGTCCAAATGCTCTCATAAATAATGAGACTCTTAGTACAAATGGTGTCCTATCAGTTCATGCATTGTTTAATATCTATACCCCAGGACTAATGGACCTTATTTAATGGCCTCTGAACACCTAATGCATGAACTGTAATATAGACGGATACTAACAAGTTTCACACAACAATATGGCACTTTGATTGCTCAACTTCTATGATCAGCCATTACTATGCAGAAAACTGGAGTTCAGAGTAACCTTCAGTCTCAGAAGAGTAACATGGAGGCAGCGATCGTGGCATCTTTAAAACGTTAGGCCCAGACCCCAAAAGATTCCTCTGGACTTCAGTGGAACTAAGGCCCCCATCCTGCTCTCATTTATTTAAATGAAACAGGATCAGCTCTTCATTGTGACCAGAACTGGTTGCAGGGCTGGGCCAGAGAAAGCAACACTTGGCAATGTGAAATTAGAGGCAATATATTTCAGAGTTATCTTGTTAAATATATAGACTGGCTGTCCAATCTCCATGTATCACAGGTACCAGTGAAGGGTTACATTGGGGGTGTGGAAAGCTAGCTTTGATTTACTTGGTAAAATAGTAATTATCCTAATCAGTTGAATCTAGCCCCTTAAATATCCCTTTTTACATCCTGGAATAAAAGATGGACGTTCACCAGCTGGATTCTTTATATTTCCAATTATATGGCCGAAGAACTTGATTTATCCCATGGTAAGTAGTGAAAGTTTGTTTGTATTTAACCTCCTAGAAAAAATACTTGCAACACTATGCAGGAGGCATGTCAAGCTACCAAACACAAGCTTTGGAAAGGGTACTTCTTACAAATAATTTTTACAAATGCAAGTATTTTAGTAAGTCTGCCTTTTCATTATCAGTAGAAGACACCTAAACATTTGAAAGGAAAATATTGCTATATCTGACTCCGCAAAAGCTTGTCAAGACCTAAGTTGTTTGTTTTTAAATAAGGAGGCGACATTAAACACTGCAGAGGATGGTGTTACCAGAACTTGTTTGATAAAGCAAAAGAAAAATTAATGTTAAAAAATGCAAACTGTTTACGGAAGGTAAGTTGCTTGAAAAATAACGTCATTATCCAGTCCTTGATCAGAGATCTGTTTGAAATTGACAGCTATTAACATGAGTTAGAATACCTTCTCCTTGTATCATTTCAAATAAGGAATCAGTGCTTTCTGTATTTTCTGCCAGGAAAGAGGGAATTGCAGTTTTCATACAATTTCAAGTTATGTACTCAAAGAAGAAACTAATATTTAACCACTGAATATGCTTGTGATCCAGTATATAGTTCAGCTATATTGGCTGAGACTCTACATAGTGACCAGTGGAGTTTGGCATTATCTAACAGTATGCAGGTAAAACTGGTCTCTAGAGGTGCATTCAGTGCCAAATTATAGTAAAGGTAAAGATCATAATGTATCAGATTCAAGAGGGGACAGGCAGTTGCTACACTGGACAAGATATACCCTTCTATGAGAACATGACACTATTCATGGGGAGTGTAAGTACATGGTGGTGAGCTAAACCTTCTGCTATGTAATATTCTGTAATTAGAGTTTAGCAGAGAGCTGACTGAAAATGGTGAAAGGCTTTTTGTTGTTGTTTGTTTGATTGATTGGTTCATGCAATTTCACACCCCAAGTTCTGAAAACCTTGCAAAAACATTACATTTTTTCAAAATTAAACAAAATCTCAGAGTCCCTCTTAATCAAACATTTGGAAGGCAGGGTTGGCATTGGTACTGTTCCGCTTTAGACTCTTGAAAAAGATAGGGCTGCAAGTCAAGAATACTATCAACTTCTGATCAATTTCAATAATAATTTGCACTTACATAGTACTTAAATGTTTAAGTAGGTCTCATAACACACCATGAGGAACCCAAAATTACTATGTCCACAATTAGACCATCAAATTCCAGTCTCAAACCACATTCACTAGAGAACAATGCCTCCCAGATAAGTACCTGGATCTTAGCTTCCACATCTATAATACAGTGGCAATTACACAGGATTTAAGATGTCTACAGCTATACATAGGTAGGTAAAACAGGAAAATGTATGAACTGCATCCAGATAAAGGAAACAGCAGAAGAGTCTTAAGAGAAGTTCTGTAATTTTTCTGCAACAGGACAGGACATTGGCTAAAAGGGAGAAAAAAGTTATACAACTTCTAAGAAGAGCTGTGCAAATATTTTGCTGATCCCTGTGTATCTGGAGCTCTAATCTGCCTGCATTATTATAGGTTGGACTGTATTTCCCATGGAATTAGAATAGCTGTCTGCTAGGATTGTATAGCAATGGAGATTTTCAAAGATTCTCTGCTGTTCTTTAATTCTGCTTTATAATTTCCTTAACTTGCTACTTCATATGCAGAATGTAAAAATCATTGCAGACATATTCATCAGATGAGAAAAAAAACTTAGACAAGCCACCAGTGACACAGGTAATATCTAACAATACACAATTATTTTGAGAGCTTGACTACCCCACTGAATTGAATATGAATGAGTAATAGACTGCTTTTTTGTTTTAAACTACATTTATTACTCTATACATATACTTCATAACTGATTGCTTTGCAAACAGTTGTCTGTAGAAACTCTTTTTAAACATGAAAGAAAAATCCAAGCAGATCCAGAGATTTTATAGAAGTCTGCAATTAGAAATCCTGTGCAAAATGTACCTCCCTGGTTTATTTAGTAATAGGCAGTTGACACACACAAATTCAGCATTCTGTTTGCCAGTAAAAAATGCTCTATGAGCCAAAGTGGGTAAGCAGATGCAACTTACGAGGTCAAATGAAGTTGTCTGCTTATAGCAAGGCTGAAGGTAGCTCTGGTGTTATACTAGTCACTTCAGTATTGTGAATGCAAGACTTAGCCAATACACCTAATTTATGGAGGGTTTTTCATAGTCATTACTAAAAGTCCATTTCAAATCACCACAATTGACAACATGGCAGTCATTTTAATAAAACCTCTAAAATCTGCTTTAATGTATTCCATAAGGCTGATGCTAGCTCGTTTGGCTGAAGAGGTATCATGCATACTCACAGTACAAGGTAAGTTCCAGGAACAGTACATTAATACTCATGTCTCCTATCCACCCAAGAAATTCCTAAACTACATTAAAATCATATTGAAAGCTGTATCGATGTATTTTTCTTCCACGTTACATTCACACTAAAGACTTTAAAAAAAAATTCTTCCCTTCAAGACAGGAACTGAGACACTGCACAGCAGATCAAGTGCATATGTCTGTTTTTTACAAAAGACCTTGGATTTAAGTGGCTGTTACTTTCCTATCCACCATGAAATCATGATTCCTTTATGTCTCCCTACTGATATTAGCTGTTCCTTTCTGGAAGAACAGGATGAATGGATGCTCTATATTTCCAGCCCAGTCACAAGATTTGTTGCTAAAATCAATTTAGATTATTTGTGTAGTCTTTAAATAAAAGTCTCATTTTAAAAAAATTGCATTTCAACAACGTACTTGTAGGTTTGCTTTTATATTGCTTTTATGATAAAGAAAAAAAAGTGTTAGTAGTTTTTCACTTATGTCTCAAACAGGGAAAAGCTTCAGAAGACCTGAGACATAACTAGACAAACAGCCTCCAACAAACCTTTTTTTGCCATCTGTAGCAAAGCCGTATTAAATACCTAATTCTGATTTTTTTTTTACTGCACTGTACAATATGTTCATCAAACTGACAGTTAAATATCAGAGGGGTAGACATGTTAGTCTGGATCTGTAAAAATTTCTTATGAGGGGGCACTAACACGTATATTCCCATCACGCTATTTGCCAGTGTTACTTTAAAAACATGTGGAAGAGACATGGAATGTAGAAGTAGTAAGGACCATTCGTTCTCATGGTCTTAAGCACCAACTTTGGTGCCAGAGATGCTATGCTTTTAGGAAAAAAGATTACTGTAGTACGACTTCTTGAGAGTACAATTAACTTAAAGCTCGTGATTTGTCAAACAGATGATGGAATTAGTTTTCACTGCAGGTTAATTCCACTAGGAATAGTGCACTATTTGTTGCAAACAGTGTAGAACTCCCTGTAGTAAAAGATTTTTTTTCTTTGCTTTTGTTTTTAAAAAAATAATAATGAATTAACCTTGCACTTGGGAAGCCTCCAAACTAGCAGTGGCTTCCTGCTGTGCTGCTTCCACAGCAGAGGATGCATCTGCAACTGGCGATTCTTTTTCCACTTCAGCTTCTGTAGATACCATAGACCTCTCATTCTGTTCTGTAGATTCATCAGCAGTTAGTGCTTCAGCCTCTTCTGTAAGTGCCTCTGTGGCCTGCTCGCTTGCTTCAGTGACTTCAGCTATCTCCAGTTCATCACCTTTTAAGGATTTAGTTAATACAATAAAGCAAGTGTAAAGTGTATGCATGCAACAGGAAAACAAGTTCACCAATTGCTTTCACCATCTTATTTAAACTTACAATGAAAAAAATTTGTTCATTTTGTGGTTGAGATTTTCCATATAAAAGTCAAGGAACTCAAAGTTAGTCCCTGCATCAGATAATGTTTAAAATGTCATTAAGCCATATTCTCAATCATTAGCTTAGCTTTACTACTATGTCACTATAATGGAAAGGAAAATATGGCTTAAAGCAAGTGGTTGACAACAAAGAAAATAATAGAATGAGTACGCACACACAAAGTGTGTCAGAAACCATGCCAGAGGGATGTAAGATTTATGGGTCCAAACTGGTTCTCATTGAAGGACTCAATAGCAAAACAGATATTGACTTCTTTGGAAGTAGGATCAGAGTCCACATTCCAGCTGTACCCACTGGTGAAGTTATCTAAACATGGAATACAACACATTAACTGTCCTGCTTAGAAGCTCTTATGCAGTTTAGCACCATGTCAGAGTTGCAGTTCAAGAGTAATGGCATTCATAAATAATTAAGGAAAGTAAAGCCCACTCTCTCTATATATGGGACAGAAACAAAAAAAAAACAACAGAAGACACTTATTAAAAAACTAGGTGTATAAAATAGAGAAACAGTTTGTAAACTGGAGATTCATGTAGCCATTTACGACTGATGATTTTCTTGTTTGCAAACCTGAGCTCTCTCTCTTTTAGGTTTGCCTGCATCTCTGTGTATAAAATTGTTCAGCAGCAGTGAAACCCCGTGTTGTCTCATCAGAATGAACTAGTTCAGACTCAAGTGGGATTAAAAAAATAATTAAAATGAATACAGTGCAAGGCAAGAGGGCATGCAAAGAACACACACACACACACATAAAAACCACACAAACATCACACAAGTTGGCAAATTTAAACAGTGTGCCATGTGTTCATTGTTAGTTAACCCTCACACCAAATTCACCAGGTGAAGAACGGAACTGGAAAGAGTTGTATAACAGTTGCAGGCAGGCAGAGAAAGAAAATAGAAAAGCTTAAAGAGACATTGTCAGGCTAAAAAAATAATCCTGTTTTTAAAAATGTTAGTACTTTGGATTAAAAGGGAGGGCCATATGCCATTTACTTACTTTTTGCATTTCACTCAGTTAGGAGAATGCGAATAGATGGGGAGGGGGGCATTAAACTGACCAGTCAGTTTCACTCCCTGGTTCTCATGCACTAGCACAGGGCTGCATTGTTTGGGTTTAAACTCAAACAAAATCGGATTCCATTGGTTAAAAATAAAACAAAAAAAACCCCTTCACACTAAATAGGATCAAGTTACCTGACTGTGTCCCTTAGTATCTTTCCAACAAACTAAGCTTTATCACACAAAGACCAGAGTAACAGGCAAGCTCAACATTCAATACACTTTATTGGACAGTCAAATATACAAGTGCATTCATTCAAAACAGCCAGCTCCTTAAAAATCTCAAAGTTGCCTTCTACAGGATATATTCAGTAGCTCAATATGGTTTGGCCTTGTAAATGTAAAGCTAGTATTTTTTAAGTCTCACAAGTGTGAAGTTTTACAGTAGAAGGCATAAAGTCATCCCAAGGTAGGCTGCGAGGTATGCAATGGTGAAGGATTATCCCTTTGTTTGTATTTTACATCCTCAGGTTTGGAAAGACAGATTTCCCTTGTATTTTATTCTGGAAAGTGTAAAAGTAGAGTAATGATTAGAAAGGCTGAATCAGCTTTTACAATTAAAAGTTAAATTAAGAAAAAATTACCACTAAAAAGCAGATCAGAAACAAGTTTGAAGAGGGGGACACAATAGAACAAGAAAGGAGGACACATAAGCAAATACATGCACTCAAAGGATAAAAAATGAAGTGTACTCCATTGCGGCAAACATTCATTTTACAATAAGATAATTCCCTAAGGTTTTCCACCACTATTTCTCTTCATGCTCCTCCCAGAGACTTTAAAATCCACTATTACATTCTGTGTTTGTTAAAGTCTGGTTTATAGATCAATAGGAGTTTAAAAGGTTTGCTATTAGAGGTGGTTGCAATTTCTGAAGTTTTCAAATAACCAAATTAAAAATGAACTTGAAAAAAGCATTTGATATTTCTCCCTTTTTTGACCACTTCTATTTGCTGTATGCTGTAGTTCTTTTGTATAAATTATTTTGGGAGGGCTGTGTGCCTTCTGAGAATTAAGTATTTTTGGGAAAAAACATTTAACAGAGAAAATGACATTGCTTAATTTAAGGAAAGGAAAGACAAATGACTGGTAGAAAGTGAAGGAAATTCTCCCTCTAACCTAACCATCTATTCCCTGGTTGTAAATTCCAGTCCTTCTAGCCAAATGGTTGCCTCCTCTGTGTTACATTAATAATAGTAAGTAAATATAACTATTATTTGTATCATGTTAAGAGAGTGTACTGGGATGTGTTTATCTCTATCCACTGTTTAGTACTGTTCCTCAACATCCAAAAAAAAAATCAGAAATTTCTCAAATAAGTCACTACCTGTAGCATCATCTAGCTTTAAAGGATTAAATTTTATGTTCTTCTGAGTGGCAGGTTCACCAGTTCTCTAATTAGTTATTTCCACAACAAACACTGTGAAAAATAAGTATGATGACTAACTGCACTCAAAGGAGGTCGGGGTGGAGAAGTTGTGGGCACTGATTCTGTGGAGGTAGGGACGGGAAGCCATGTAGCACTGCTCTATGATGAGACACATGCTAAATACAGAATTAGGACTACACATAGAAGAAAAAAATAAGAGGGAGCAAAGACATTTGTGCTTTTGAGAAAATGAAAAATGTTAATCTAGGGGATTCTAAGATAGAAGGGAACAGAAGCCAGTTTAGGGAATGTGGGAGGAGAATTTGGGGGGGGGGGTTTGGGGAGGAGGAGGACGGAAGGGGAGGAAGAATTTTAAAAGCTACAGAAAGGGTAGAAATGCGAGAGCTGATTCAATGGTGGATTTGTATTATAAATTGAGGTTACAGCTATTCAAATGTTGAATTAAACGTGAAAACCCCAAGGCTGACATTTAGAGTCAGGAGTCTGATCCTGGGAAGGAGGTTGGAGAGAGGTTTCAGAGTGTAAGTTAATTTATTAACAGGCATGGTCATTAAAGAAGAGCACTGGAGGGCTGGTGGACAGTGGTGAACTGACAAAAAATAGAAAAGAAGGTATCTGAGCATCCTCCATTGGTGGTCGCTTTACTGCTTCATCAGATCTTTGTGAAATACATCCAGGAGATGAAAGATATTAGGTATTACACAGTTCAGATATAAAGCTGTGGGAAAAGATCTTGAAGATCGTTACAAAATAAAGGCTTGATTCTACATGGTATAAAGTACTCTGACCCCAATCCAACAAAACACATAAATACATGCTTAACTTTAAGCATGCAAGTGGGCCCATTCACTTCAGTGGGATCACACTCAAGCTGAAAATTAAGCACACGCATGCTCTGCTGGATTAGGGCCACAAACCTCAGCACCTTGTAAGATCAAATCTCAGAGAAAGAATCCAATTAACTACCTTATGAAGTTCTACTTGCCACTGGTAGACTTGTCTACCCCTCTCTACATATATCAGGCTCTTCAGGATAGGATCACTTTAAGACCATCCCAATATTGTACTGCATAGGCAAGTGTCAGGAAAAGGCAACATCTTTTTTGGTCTCATCACAGAAGTATTTTAAATTCTCACACATTTATCAAATAAAGACTTACATTTTGGGAAGAGCCAGTCAGTGTTTGTTTGCTTTTTGTATTTAAACTAACGAGTCCTAACACCCAAAGAGGAAATTTAAAAACTTACAATTTCCAGCTATTTAAGAATAGGAAAGAAATATACATATTTTATTATTTATAAGAGGAGTGTTAAAATCCTTTAATCTTAAACTTTAGAACTAGTGAAGGAAGTATGATATAACTTTCCCTCGCAAAAGTAATAGCAATCCAGTACAATTTAAGAGGGGAATCAACCTTTACAGAAGCAATCAGTTTCAAGTATGCCTCTGTTCTGAAATGGGACTTTAAAGATGATGCTTTCTTATTCCAGAAATCTGCTCCCTGTATGTATTCAGTCATATTCAGCAAACTTTAGCCCTAAAAATCACATATACCAGCTAAGTGCCATCTCTTGATTTGTGAACTGAGCCCATTTGATTTGGCAATTGAAGCAATATATATATGGATCCCTACAATGCCATTTTACAGTTACTTTTCATAATGGAACTGCATTTAATGCATTTAAAACCCTCAGGTCACTTTTAGCCTAATTTCCTTCCCCACCATCTTTTTTTTTATGTTAGTAGTGTTAGGTTGCCATACACATTGTGTGAACTCTGGCACATACAAATAGACCAATATCTGAAACAGCACATATAAATATGGGCAAAGTACACACCAGGGGAAAAACATAGTTTTCCATCTATATTAGACTAACTGATTAATTAAAAAAAGACTGTAAACTTTTGTACAATAATAATGTTAAAGAAGATTCCATCATGAGTATTTGAGCTAATGATGTCTCTGCTCAACCTAACAGAACTCTGTAATCTTCTAGTTCATTTAATTGGCTGTAAATTTAAATTATGTCAGTTAATCTTAACGTTAAACTAATGCTTGGGAGGCGGGAAGGCAAGAGGAAGAAATGGGTTTTATACCCGGTATTTTGAAAACTTAAACAAATGTCCCTCTCCCCAGCCTGCTAAGATTGGACTGTACAGCAATTGTGTTCACTGATGCATGGCCTGGAGCCAAACTGTTGACCAGGACAAAGATATAATTTCGCTTCACAAACAAACAAAAGGACAGAACTGGTTTTGACAGCGTTATTCATTTAGTCAAGTTTAATTAAGCTTTCAGTCATCAAGTTCTGTCACCCAATCTCCTATTACTGGTTCGTCTATTAACCATTTCCTTTCAAATGGATTTCTTCTAATTGGGTACCTACAGGATTCAGTGTCTTCTCATTACGTTTTTTTTCTCTGCAATTTAAACGGCAGCAGAATGATTTAAACTGATAAAGCAAGTAAAAGCTTCGGACTGTGGAAGAGACAGAGTATGGTAAAGGTCTGACTGTCTAGTCTAGAAATAAACTCCATTTCTTGTAGAATTTTTGTGTGCTGAAAGAAACGTGGTAAAAACTAAAACAAAACAAAAACACCACAACTTACGCTGGGGTGGCCAGGGTTTTGGTTTCCACTCAGCTGTATTACTCTGCTGAATAGCATGAATACGTTCGTTGTACCTCTTTTTGTCTGACGTGATTGTTCTGTAGGCCTGAAAATAAAATTACATACCTGCACTTATTTCCACAGCTCTACTAATAAAGAGTTAAAAAAAAAATCCTATGTTAACGAAGTGTTCTTCCCTATGTTGAAAGGTCACCTTAGATTGGTTAAAAAAAAAAATTAAATCTACTTTAAATTTTAATCATACAAACTTTTAGTTTTAAATTTTGCCTCTCTCTCCTCTTGCAACGTGGAAACAAATTAGTTAGCCTCACATTCACACAACACTGCATTGTTTAGGAATTGGAGGTGAATATTTAAAAACAAGGAAATATTTCTGTTAATCTTTATGCTTTATAAACCCTAAATGTGGGGGTCAAAATTGACCCAATAGTCTTCATTTAATAAAAAATACTTGTCAATCAGCAGTAGAAATCGTTACAAACCAAATGCTTGAAGTAGAAAATTAAGCCTAATGAAAATAATAAAATGAGTATATTTTTGAATACTCATTGAGTGATAGATTTCATTCATCCACTAGAAGGTGTTATTTTTGGAGGCAGCAATTAGTGGTGGAAGAAACTGAGAAATGAAGGATTTAGCAAGAAGAAGTGGAAGAAAAAAAGTGGGAAAGACTTAGGAGGAGGGAGGAGACTGACTTTGGAAAAGGGGGAATAAAAAATGCATCACTCCATCATGAAAATGCTACACATTCACAGAACTGAAATATTTAGAAGACGGGAGTGTTATAGTCTGACATCTGTGCTTCAAAAAATATGTTCGCAAGGAGCAATCTATTCAAAGGAGAATGGGTCTTGAACTGGGCCCAAGCATGGTTTGTTCAGACATGCCTGTAATCTTTATACCTGTTTTCTTATTAGCCAAGAACACAGAAAGAGGAAAAAGCTTGGTCTCTCTATTTCTGTACGCCTCTTTTACATTATCTCACTGCCAAAGTAGAACAGCATCATTTGGTGTGAAATTCCCACTTCAAGAATCTCCAACATTGAAATTCAGCTTTACTTTGGAATAAGGGATTTCCCTCCCTTCCCTCCGCCAACTTGAAATATAATTATCCAGAACCCATCATCTCGTTTCCCTAGTATGGGAAGAGAAGAGGAGCTTGATTCACCAAGGAGCAGTGTTTCCATATTTTAAGTCCATGTTTGATTACATGATCATGCTACATCTCCCCCACATGCCACTGATGTTAACTGCGTCTTTCATATACTCCTAAAACATGAGGCACTTACATAATATCCACCAGCAGTGCACGCCACACCAGCAAACAGATAGTAAATCAGGTTCTCCCCAGAAGAGCCAGGGACACTGCCAGATGACATCTGGCGAAGAGGTGCTGTATAAAACATTAAAATAACGTTAAAATAAAGTGCTAATAAAATAACAGAAAATATCATCTAACCTGAGATGCAGAGTGATAATCTGTAGAAAGTTGAAACAAAGTCATCTGATAAAAACAAAGAAAATTAAGCAAGTGCTTATTTAACTAAATGTAGCGCCGCACTTGGTAAGTGGAGTATCTCACCATGAGAACATTACACGTGTGGTCCATGATGTGCACTGGCTGTCTATTAATTTAATCTATAAAGCCCTAAATGGGATATACCTATGTGTGAGAATGACTCTGTCCCTGTGTGATTCTGCCATAGTTGTGATCAACAGAGGCACTTAGCCCTGTCACTTTAAAGAGGAAGGATTACTGGCTGGGCATTCTCTGGGAGGAGTCCTTGGCTTTAGATTTACATATTCCTGGTCCCAATAGCTCAAACTTGGAGGTCACTCCAAGGAGTCCTGGTCTGGGACATCCTACAAGGCCCTGTCTCTTAGGCATTTGGGAAGGGTTAAGAAAGGGTGGGGTATTACACCACATTATCAGTAGGGTTGAAATTTATTTTGTTTTGGGGCACAGTAGCGTTGTTGACTAGGTTTGTTTTTGTCTGATTCTGTTGGTTTGATGCTCACCCAGATGTAGATCCAATAGGCACTGCCAAGGAATTCTATTGCACATCAGTTTAAATGTCAAATAGAGCTTAGAAAAAAACATACATACTACTGTGACCTAATGAAGATTTTAACTGCACTCTGTAACTGCACCCCAAATTAATAATTTATACTAAGTGTTATGTTCCTGAATGATCTTTCATTAAATATAAAGCAGTTCTGTCATCAGAGTTGTAACTAGGGTATTTAGGGAGGCAAAAAGGACTCCAGCCCGCAGCAATTTAATCATATATTCATAGGATATATTGCAATTTAAAATATATGTATATTGTTCAGTCGTTTCTGCAGCTGTATACACACCAGTGGCTGTAAGAAGACTCAATAGCCTCATTCTATAATAAACTATTACCGTCATGTGCCAGATTATGTCTAGCAGCATTTGTCTCATCACATGCTAATCTGACTCTTCTCTTGGTGCAGGAACCCGATGGATATTCTTACTTTGCATAAATATTGATGAAGCACTGTTGCAGCGGTTGCTGCAGTGTATTAATCATTACCTTTAAAAATTAAAACAAGTTTTGTTCTTCTAAGATAACATTACATGGACTTTAGAAAAATATATGGGGGAAAGATAAGGTTACAAGGCCCAACTATAACCTAACAGAGTAAGTACATACACTCAGATAAACACACAGCTTATTGCAATGCATCTAAATTTTCAGGAACAACAAATGAAATGGATCAACAGTGACTGAAGGCAGCAGCTTTTGGTGCTGAACCGCATGAAAACTCCGTTCTCGTTCGTTAGCCCAACCCAGCCACATTCAGAGCTCCAAATTATTCACAAAATCGTTGGACCTTGTTTGCGATCTCCTGTATTTGTGTCAGCTGGTTACGTGCAGGATCCCTGTAGGGCGCAGACTGAGGACGTCTGGCTTCAATTGCACAACACGCTCACAATGCTCAGCTGGCATTTTTATAGACTCGTGCCCCCCCCCTTTTCCTCTTCAGCAAAAAAGAGCCCACCCCCAGTGTTCAGCACGACATAGCAATAAAAATCAGCGCAGAGGGATCCGGTAGCTCAAGATTGAACGACACTTCTTGGTCCGGCAAATAGCAACGGTACAGAGAGAGACGGGCGACACCTAGATATGTCAAACCACCTGGAGCCGGTTGTTTCGTTCCTGCCTCTGCCTGGCATTCCTCCTCTGCAGGACCTGGCAGGGGGATGGCCAGGCTGAGCTGTAACTTACCCGCGGCTGGGCTGGGCTCCATTCCCCACCTGTGACCTTCACTTCTCCTCTCCCAGGGCATTTCAACAACAGGCACGCGCAGGGCGCCCTTCACCAGCGCGATTCCACCCCCTCGCCCAGCCGGGGGCTGCAGGTGACCTAACGGAGCCGTGACCATGAATCGCTGCTGTCTGACCTCTACCCCCGCCTGCCCTGCAGCTCAGCCCGTCCGTGCCCCGTCCCCACGCGCTCGGCTCCCCGGCTGCCTATCGCTCTTACCATGCTTTCTGAGCAGGGTGGCAGTGGAGGACACGCTGGCCAAGCGAGCGGCTAGCGCCTGCCAGGCAGCCCTGCAGACGTACATGGTGGCTGCGCTGCGGCGGCTGCACGGAGCGACTGGGCAGAGCTCACCCGGCTGCCGAGCGAAGCTGCGGGATCGAGCGAGGGAAGGAGGCAGCGATTCCGTGTGAGTGGGAGGGAGCAGGTGGGAGGGGAGAGAGAGGGCAGACTCGGCCCACTCTCCTCCTCCCGGGGCCAGGCCGCACCTCTCCAACCAGGGCCCAGCATCCCTTCCTTCTGACTCGGACCTCAGGTCCTTTCCCTCCCCTCTGCTGTCCGTGAAATGACCCCAAGAAGGCTGAGTCACGAGCCACGTACAATGCAGACAGACCAGGCCCCGAGGAATTGGGAGCTCTCCCATTGGGAGTCATTTACATAACTAAAGGGCTGGGGTGATTAAAGGAGAGGTTAAAAAAAAGTTGTAATCTGCGTAATGCGCACACACAAATCCTTCGGCACACAAGGGATGATCTCTCACGTTTGCGATGAAGGATTTTGCTAGTCAGGTCTAGCTGATTTAAAAGCCAGGAATGCAAGATTCTTGAAGATCATAGGTTCTCTCATCGTGAAGAAGGGTTTTGCTGTCTTTCCAGTTTTGTATCTCAGTGTATTTTAATCCTCTGCTACAGTTAGTGCTAGAGAAACAAAACATACTGTTTGAAAGTTTCCCACCCTGTGATTGCTATTTAGGCCACTACTATGTATGTTCCATCAGCTAAATCAAAGGTAATCAATTATTTTTTGTCAAGGCCTAAATTTCTTGGTCAAGGTATAGTCAAGGTTCAGACTCAGAAAAATAACAAATAAATAAAAATATTTCATGGTCCATTCAAAAGCATCTGTCCGTCCAGATTGGCTATCCTTGAGCTAAATATTGTCACAGCAGAACTTCAAGCTGGGCCCCATGCTGCCAATTCTCAACCCGCATAGTCAAACTTTTATTATGTTTGAGAACTCCACACCTTCAGCAGAAGTCAAATTTATTTCTATCACTTTAGTGTAGGGACCAATGCTGCCTCATAAACACCAATCTGTAATTAAAAGGAATAGAATATGATCTAGATCTATGCTCCAAAATGCATACAAGATTAATCCCTGCTAGGTCAGGCTTCTGTGAATGCTGAAAGACATGTGATGGTCAATTTTAGGGGTTGATCCAGCAGCCCTTGCAAATGGCCCAAAAGGGAAGTTCATTTGAAGATTTTTCACTGGAGAATCATCTTTCCCTAATGTCCCTCATTTTGAGTGATATCACTCATTTTAGTCCCATTTTCCTACATTTCACACAAAAGTTGATGTCCTCTCTAGTTGTAGAAAATGTACATAAAAATAAAGGTTATTTTAGTAAAGTAAAGAATCCCATAGCATTTTAAATTTCATGCATAATTATTATATTGCAAGTCTTTGTCACACATTGTGTCCCAAGTTTGGGTCTTGGCAGGTTCAGAGGTATGTTAGGAACAGGGTAACAGCTGCCGGTTTCTATGCCTGTATCTGACTGAAAGAAACAGGGCGCAGAAGAAACAGAGATTAGCTGGATAATCACAAAGGAGTTGCTGGAATTTTCAGTAGGGTTGAGTAGTCTTCATTTAAGGCAATAGAGCTTCTCACACAAATAAGGGCCACAGGATCAGGTCCTTAACTATGACCTGCAAAGGAAACAAAATAGTTCTGTACCCTTTGTTGCTCTGTGATTAATCAAGCAAACTTAAAGCCCTTTCCATACCCCCAAAAGGGTTTGTTCCTCCTACAGAAATTCAGGTTTTGTCTGACAATTTCATAAAAGGCCTGGTGGCTGACTGCAAAAATACACCTCTACCCCAATATAACACTGTCCTCGGGAGCCAAAAAATCTTACCGTGTTATAGGTGAAACCGCATTATAATCGAACTTGCTTTGGTCCGCTGGAGTACACAGCCGCCCCCCCCGGAGCACTGCTTTACCTCGCTATATCCGAATTCTTGTTATATCAGGTCACATTATATTGGGGTAGAGGTGTAGTGGGTATGCCAACAGAGGTTTAAAGGAAATAAGAACCTGATTAGCTGAGAGGGGAAATTATTTTACTCCAGTCTGATTAATTTCTTGATGTTAGCACCTATTTAGCTTTTATTCTAGCTGTTTGAGTTTTCTCTGAGACTCAGCATCCTTGCTCCTTCAAGTGCTTCCACTGCAATTCTTTTAAGACTGGACTAGTTTAGATGTATACACTGGTGTGTGACCAGATAGATTTTATATCTAGTTACATTGGTTCAAACCCTTAATAATATCGATGCACTTAACTAGATTAAATCACGCTTAAACAGATTAATTGATTTCAAATGGTTACATGCATCTACAGGTACATGATCCACTGGATTAGGTGGTGGACTAGGACCCTGGAGCTAGGTTCTTTTCCCTACTCTGCGATCTTGGGCAAATTACTTCACCTCTCTGCCCCAGTTTCCCCATCTGTAAAACGGGGATAATGATCCTGTGTAAAGCACTGTATAAGGTCTAGGTATTATACTAACCATTTGCACCCCAGTCTAATAGATAAATTAAAAATTGATGCAGTTAATGTACTGTTAATTTTTCTAAGAAAGACAAACCCATAATCATCTAAGGGAGGGAAGACTTAATTCAGTAAAGAAAAATCAAGTAGAAACCATAACCCTACTCCTTTTTTCTCTTTTAAATGAAAAAAGCATTTCACACTTTCTCTACATCATAAATGCGTTTTTTAAAACAAAAAACCCTCAGACCCATTTTTACCCTTTCTAAGCAGCCTTTAAATAGGAGGAAACCATTCTCTTACATATATATTTAGAGGTCTTGAAATGTTTTATCATTTAATGCAAAAACGTGTTAATTACAGACCACCAAATATCAGTTTAAGACTTCTGAGTCACCATCCATCTCAGGGAACATGTGATATCTTTAGGGGTGGACTGGTATATAAAGGGATGAAATAGCGTAATACTTAAATAGACATAACTCACTAAGCATATGGGATGAAAATCTGTTTTACAACAGCAAAAACTGGACTGTGGGAACATTTAACTATATTACATATTAGAGAAAATTACTCTCAGAGAGCCAAGTAATTATTTGAAAATAAAATCACTTATTCCAGAATAGTTATGCTGGTCAATTTCCTCATGCAAAGACCTAATTCTCATTGGCTGTTTCAAAATACAGTACAGACAAAGACTTAGTATAAGCCATGAGGTCAAATACCTAAACCACAACCTTCCTTGTTAGTAAAAGAGAGGCTGAAAGGGGAAAGGGACAAAGGTACGATAGCAATACAGATGCACGACTGATGAAGTTTCAGGGTGAGAGTTCTGGAATCCTCTCCTTTTTCTTTGCTGTAAACTAAATGACCACAGAATCATTAGCTCACACATGGAATCAGTAATAACAAATACAGAATGGACAATGACCAAGTAGTGGCAGGAAACTGAATCCTAAACATACTTTCAAGTCCCATCCTAGGAAGATGCTTGGTATATCACACATACCTTTGAGAAATTCTAAGTATTTCTGCCTCATCAGCACTTTGATTAACTTGTCATGATAATGAAGTATTTTGAATTGACACAAGAGCAGTGGGGCACTACCTTCGTCTGCAGAGGTTCAGTATCCTACTGATAAGAGATCACTTGTAAGAATGGAATTCCAGTTTATTATCCAACCTCAAGGCATAAAACTAACAATCTACCATAATAGTATTTATCAGCTACATGTTTTATGGCCCAAATACTATAGGGCAATGAACTCAGTGTGCATCTTGCAGAGCAGACAGGATTGGAGAAGCACACTAGTGCTCTAGAAATGACTTCAAGCTTGCATACAGATGTGTAAACGTGAGTTGCAGTAGCTTCTGAAGCAATTTCTCCAAAACCAAGTGGAATTTCAAACAAGACTTATAAGAAAAAATTATTTTCAATGTACAATATTCACAAGGTAAAAATCCAGAAATGCACATTTTAGCATTTATATACAGATTGCAACTGTAAGTGCTCTTCTTCACGAAGCATGATTCACTTTTTCTAAGTGAATTCCCTACACTTATGTAAGTCATATGGTTTATTTTCTCTACTTTTAAGGGTTAGTGACTGAAATTATTTAGTTAATGACTTCAGCAATTTGCTACATATAAAAATTCAGAGACAGTGCTATTTGAACTCCACCTTTCAGAATAACTGAGAATCTCAAAAGCACAATGATTTGTTAAAAATGAAAAATCATTAACTCTGAAACAGTAACACTGATTTTATGCAAAGGTGAAATTAAACACCTTTAACAGTTAAATACACTTTCTGCTAGTCTTCAGAATAAAACACGCACAGCAAGAAAATGGATTCAACTACCTTCTTCCATATTAATTGCTGTTTATTTCACAGTGCTTTGTACAAAACATTGAGAACAGATAAATATCCAGATATTTTCTGATACCCTGTTCATCATTTCCTTGTGGATTACAATTAATCGCTCAATCACTTCTTCGAGCATATCTTCAACCTAGGAAAAAAAACATACTTGTAAGGTTGACATGGAAAATGAAATATGTTCAATAAGTGTGATTACATGTTTTCTCTGTGTTCATTCCATTTTTAGCTGCACAGTAGAGACATTTATAGAAAATTGAAGAGAAAGTGACCATCAACTGTGGGGTTTCCCAACCAAAAATGTTCTTTTAAAGCTGCATATTAACTGCCTCTGAACAAATATCTGTCAGTTAATTATATGTTTTGTAACAGTAAAGTAAATAAATTACATTTCAACACAGATAATGAGTGAAATATCCATTTCTGATTGGCATGATGAGGGCTATTATCTTTATATTTCAAAAATCAAGTGGCCCAATTAATATGCATTGATTTAGAGTTGTGGTATCCTCTATGTAACCAGGGTATATAAAATACAAGGCACAGGAATACTCTGATATGTGAAATTAAGAAAATAATGATTTCTCTTATGGGCCTGATCCTACAATAAGCTGAACAGCTCCTTATTAGCTGAGACACCTTATTATCAAAACATATATATATTATGGTACTGCCCATATGCCTCAATAAGGACTGAGGCCCCGTTGTCCTGGCCATCATACAAATGCTCCGACACACACATGCAAAAAGAGAATTCAGGCCTTGGTGGGCTTACAGTCTAAAAACCAAACAAAGGCTTGGGAATGGTGATAAAACATACATGTAAATTAATATAGCGATGAATTGGCACAGTTATCTTACTTATTATTTGTGTTGGCCTTTTTTTCTTTTTTAAAACTTTTAACGAGGGATTGAGTTAGGGAAAGGGGGGGGATAGTGAGTAAGGGGTAGGAAACAAGAAGAGGAAGAGTCAACTCTCATTGTTTAATTGGCAAGACAGGCCAGTAAGTACCTTTGAGGAGGTAGGCTTGTCTACAAAGAGATAAATCAGTCTATGTATTACCAGTCTGTATTTGTATACTTACTATGAACATCCTGTACATGCATCACGTTTCTCCCTCTCTTCTCTTCTCCTTTCATATTCCATTACATCTTCATTATGTTGCTTGAAGAGCTAGAAGATGACAGTATGATTAAAAAAAGCCATACGGGGAAGCAGCAAGCTGGAACCAGCATTATTGTAAAAAGAAATAAAAGTAAGTTTTAAGAGAGATAAAATCTCCTGATTCAGGATATAAGCCAGTGTTTGACAATCAGAAGTTAGGAGGAGACTCCCTAGGAGGAAAGTTTACCCCACTACTACCCACAGGGAGGTTTCTTACACCTTCCACAGCAGCATCTTGCGCTGGCCACTGATAGAGACAGGATACTGGATACCGGACAAATTGGGAACAGTGAAACATTCCTCTGACTGCTGCTTATTCTGCATAACATGTTCATTTTACAATTATTACATGCTCCCTTCACCTGTTATGTCTTGCCATTATCCTGGGCCATGATATCTCTCAGGCAGAGAAATTTTATTTAAGAATTTGCACAGTGCCTTGCACAATGGTGCCCTAATAGTTGACGGGATAAAGCTTTAAACTAGCAAAAAATATGAGTGTCTGATCCAGTCATAAAATTATGATTTTCCTAATATATTCAAAAAGAAAAATAAGGTTTTATTACAGCCCCTCCCTAAAACATGTCTAGTTTTTCTTAGAGCAGAAAAGAACATACTGTTAAACACCTCTACACATAGATATATACATGCCCACCCCTTGTCTGGGAGAGAAGTTGGTAGATCTGTAGAAAATCAATTCTTCAGTGTATGGTTGCTTGGAAAGTTGTAGCAAAGAGGAATAGCTTAGTGAATTTCTAGTTTTTAAAGGAATATTACAAACTACCTGAATCTTCAGAGAGACATATTTGATCTATGTGTATTTCTTAAATCTTGACATTCCCTTCAGTTATCCTATCTATTACAGCAAATTAATAGGTATTTATGTACAACCTTCTCTTAACAGTAGCTACTGTTAAGATTTCTCTAGTGACTAGTTAAGTATAGCGTAACAACGTGATAATACTTACTAGGATCCACAGAGCTGCAGTGGTGCCAAAAGTCAGTCCAACCTTTCCCCAGTTTGGTTTTGTATACTCAGGTTTTCTTGCAATGAATGCAGAACGAGTCAATGCTAAAATATAGGAATTTTATACATGCACACATTAGTTTCTGTCAAGTCTATTTAGATTATCAAACCAATTCATGACAGTCTTGTCTGATCTGTATTATAAAAGATTTTCTGACAAACTATATTATTTGTGTAAATGGTCTTCCAGCCCTCTCATTTCACCCATTTCTGCAAAGATCATTCATTGAGCACAGGAATTCATCAAGGGAAGGATGAGAAGCAACAATGATAGCACAATTCTGACTATACCTATTTCCGTCCCTCTGGGAATATAGGATTGTACCCTACTATATTTTACTCAGTTGGTTGTCCCACTTTAGAAGTCCTAAGCAATGGGTCTTCCACCACTTCCCTACATATATCATCACACTGTGTATTAGATCTAATCATCACAAAGAGGAGAAAGGGAAAAAGTCTTTATTATGGTGAAGATTATTTAATCAGGACTTCAAGAGTCAAAAAGTAAAAACACAACAAGAGCGAGAAGATGGGCATTTCCTGGGGGAAGCAGCTTAAGATACTCAGAGAGAGGTTAACCAATTATCTTTGATGATAAAAGTAATAAAACCTTTGTTGTCACCCTTTAGCTTAGCCAGAAAACCTTCCTAGAGACAACTGTGTGTGTGAAATAAAAACAGCTCCATGTAATACAGGTAATAATATTGTGCATTTCTATATAAGTGCCCTGTTGCTATTAGGGTGACCAGATAGCAAGTGTGAAAAATCAGCACAGGGTGGGGGGTAATAGGCACCTATATAAGACAAAGCCCCAAATATTGGGACTGTCCCATAAAATCGGGAAATCTGGTCACCCTAGTTACTATAGTGATTGGTGCTCAGAACAAAGTAATAAAGACAATAAATAAGTTGTTATAACTTCTTTCATATAATTTTCTCAAAGCACCTTAAGTGTTTCAATATAAAGGGGAATTAGGATAGGGATTTTCCACTTATTATAAATGTTATATGCAAAGGTTAAAAATATTTTTAAAACTTAATCCTAATACTATGAGATAGGCAGTATTGTTAACCTGAGCCTGCCCAGAGATGGCAGTAAGAGAGGCTGAGGGCAAAAGCAGGGTAGGATTTGCCTCTGCCTGTTCCAAGGTATGTGTGAAAATATAAAGGAAGGACAGTCTGGCAATGAGTTGGTATAGAACTTCTCTGGGATTTAGAGGCAACATAGAAAGAAGGGTCAAAAAAGGTCATTTGTTTGTTTGTGTCCAAGCCTGGCCCCAGCTAGCCCCATTTAACAGATGGGCTCATGGACATTGAAACTACACACACAGAATATGACGGGCAAATCCCGTCAGTGCTCCCCCTCTCCAAACCTCTTCCAAAGACCCAGCTCCTGGGGACCAGCAAAACGCGCTCTCTCCCCCAAGTCTGATCACCTACTTTCTGAGGCAGTAAAGGGCAATTATATGCTAAATCCAGGATAAATCTTATGTCACGGGCGAGCACCTACCGTGCAAACCCCTCCATGTGTAGCAGCGTCTGCCAGCCTTTGCCGACATTCAAGACAACGCGGCCGCGCTCCGCTGAGCCGATGTAGGACACGGGGCACCAAATGAGGGATCTCCCCGCACCGATCCTGCCAGCCACCCCCCGCCTCGGCCAGGGACAGCGGCGCGCACTGGCCCAGCGGGAGGCTGAAGGTCACTCGCAGCGCCAAGGCGGGGGGCCGCCAGCCCTCCCCACGGAGACCGTGGGCGGGGAGGGGGACATTACCGGGCGCTGCTGGAGTTGGGGCCCGCCGCTCCCCTCCTCGCAGCTGCGGTCAGGTCTCCCCAGCCTCCATCCCCACCAGGACGGGGCCCGCGCGCACTCACTGTGGTTCAGGCTCCCGGACGCCAGGAACAGCCGCTTCGCCAGCCCCAGCGGCGGCGCCATCTTCCCGGCCCAGCTCCACCCGCGCCGCCGCAGTCCGGCCTGAGCAGTCCGGGGGCGGGGCTGTGGCGCTTAGGGCTCCCCCTGCTGCGGAGAAGCCCTGGCGCAGTACCCGGAAGCGGGAGACCTGTGATGCTCCTGTCCAGCCCGTCTCCTGTAGCAGGGACCCTCACTCCTCTCCTTGCCGGGCTGCCGAGGCAACATTCTGCCACTCTCACTGAGGGGCTCGCGGGCTGCCTGGGGGCCCTGCGTCACTCGGTGGGTGGGTGCAGTGCTTAATTTGTGCCAGGGCTTGGCAGTTCACAGCCCCACCACCTCTGGGCTTGCTGCAGCAGTTATGAATGTAAAAAAATTGCTTGAGCCCTGGCACCTGTTTCATTACAAATGAAGCACTTGGTAGGTGTCCAACAACCTGCCCACAGGAATGCCCCTCGCTGGCTGCACACATGTATAAAGCAGCATTGATCCACCCAACCCCCCTTATATTATCTACCCTTTCATTTACCATTCAAAGCAAAAGGACAAATCAGTATTCACTGCACCCTTCCTACTTCTGAGTATCTCTTCTTTAACTCATCACCTGCTTGATTTTAAATCATCCTCATTTTTTGGCCTTCTTTTGTAACCTACAAGTCTCATCCTCTAAGCACCATCTCTGGACTTTTTCATTTTCTTCTGTATTTTTCCACTTGAAACCTTCAATTAGAGAGTAGCAAATTGACAGAATTAACCATTCAATGAGAAATAATCTCCCAGAATAAAGTGGGAGGTACAGCAGTGCCAAACCCAAGCATTCACAAATCCCGTCAAGCCCCCAAAAATCTACAATTGATTTAAAAATCACTACATTTCCAAATCTCACATAATATCATGGCTCCAGGAGCTGCGGCTTTAGGGAAAACACCAAAGACCATGATACTTGTGATAAACTTGCAACAATGTTGGTGGTGGAAAAAAGGTATTTGAGGGACAAAAATCAAACAGATGGAGTATAGATGGGGTGTTGAATGACTTGTTTGGTGGAATATGCTAGCAACTGTAACTCACAGTGGGCTAAGTATTTTGTATGGAGATGTCCCAGCTTTTTAAAGAATTGTGCATCAATATATAAGAATGAGTCACATGGGTCCCAACCCTGCAAACACTTATACATGTGCTTAACTTTACTACCATGAGTAGTCCTATCAAAATCAATGGGACTATTCATGGTAACCATGATGCTGGCAGACCAGGTGTCAGCTCACGCCAAAGCCCAGGGCCTCACTGAACACTGACCCAAAGCATAGTTGGAAACTTACCTGTGGGTTAGTATAGTTAAAATAGATATTAATTATAAGAAAGTATTTATACTTTATGGAATGCTTGTAGGATGCTACATGTGTTAATCCTACTTATAATATCTGTATCCCACTTATAAAGTCCTCACCAAACAGGAAAAGAAGCATTAATGAAGGTGAAGTGTTCATTCTGCACACAAGATGGCCCACTGAAAGCAAATGAGGCATCGTGTAGCACCAAAGGGTAGAGAGACCTTGTTGATTACATTCCCAACTCCCTCCAGGAAGGGGAGGATTGCGCATGAACTCATCCCGTCAGCTTGGATTCTAGGTTGAGAGGCGATAAAAATCTCTAACAAGGAGAAACTGGGACTCTTTATGCTGTCTGGACTCTGAGGGTACATCTACACTGCAATTAAAAACCTGTGGCTGGCCCGTGCCAGCTGACTTGGGTTCGCAGGGCATGCGCCGAGGTGCTGTTTAACTGTGGTGTAAATGTCTGAGCTCAGGTTGCAGCTCAGGCTCTGGGACCTTGCAAGGTGGGAGGTCCCAGAGCTCAGGCTGCAGCCCGAGTCCAAACATCTACACTGCAATTAAACAGCCCCTTAGCCCAAGCCCTGTGCGCCTGAGGTGGATGGCATGTGCCAGCTATGGGCATCTAATTGCAGTATAGACATACCCTAAGAGGGAAAAGATTCCTAAGCATAAGCAAGAGATCCTCTTGGTATAGGCCAGCCCTAAAGGTCATATAGAGCTGCTTATTATAGAAGCTTATATTACCTTTTTAAATCTAAGACTGTAACTTGTGTGCGTGTGTGTGTTTCCTGTTTTAACCTTGTAAATAATGCGCATTTATTTTCTTAGTTAATAAATCTTAAGTTAATTACAGGATTGGCTACAAATGTTGTCTTTGGTGTGAGATCTAAAGTGCAAATTGACCTGGCGTAAGTGACTGGCCCCTTGGGACTGGGAGTAACCTGAATATTATTTCAGAGTAGCAGCCGTGTTAGTCTGTATCCGCAAAAAGAACAGGAGTACTTGTGGCACCTTAGAGATTAACAAATTTATTAGAGCATAAGCTTTCGTGGGCTACTGGATCCGAAGAAGTGGGCAGTAGCCCACGAAAGCTTATGCTCTA